TATATATATATATATATATACACATATATATACACATAATGTATGTATATATATCTGTTTATTACATCTATATTTTTAAGAATTTTAATTATAGAAATGAAATAAATAGCAATTTATAAAATCTATAATTAAAATAAAAGAACTACAACTAAAATAAAAATCATGTAATAAATGAAATGTATACATTAATGCAATTTTTAATTGAACTGAGTAATACTTTTTTTATATGAGTTGATTTACATTTATTTATATTAGTTTTTATTAGTGATGAGTTTTGAGATCTCTCAACAATTTCCAAAAATAGTTCCAAGACATTGTTTTAGTGTGTGCATATATATATATATATATATATATATATATATATATGTACACATATATATACACATAATGTATGTATATATATCTGTTTATTACATCTATATTTTTAAGAATTTTAATTATAGAAATGAAATAAATAGCAATTTATAAAATCTATAATTAAAATAAAAGAACTACAACTAAAATAAAAATCATGTAATAAATGAAATGTATACATTAATGCAATTTTTAATTGAACTGAGTAATACTTTTTTTATATGAGTTGATTTACATTTATTTATATTAGTTTTTATTAGTGATGAGTTTTGAGATCTCTCAACAATTTCCAAAAATAGTTCCAAGACATTGTTTTATTTTTTTTTCCTTGGAAAATGATTAGTTCCTCTGAGCAGCACTTCCTGTCTTATATTCTGTTCCTGAATTCTATCAACAACAACAACAAAAAAAAAAACGTTTTTTCTTAGTATTGCATTGTACATGTTCTATTTTACTGATCCCGCCATAGATTTTTACATAGATATTACAATTTTGAAGAGTAAATACCATATAACCATATACCATATAAGGTACTGTGTCCGCAACGAAAAATATCATGGTAGTGACTCAGTCAAGCCTGGGCTTAGTCGCACCCCATGAAGTAACTACAAAACCAGTAGAGCGAGTCATTCGACAGAAGTCCCTCCCCCAAAACTTCACAGGCTCTTTTAAAGCATCAGCACGCAGCCTCTGAGACATACACCTGTAAGCACTGCAGAGAGAGCCACATCAAGAGACGAAGAAAAGCCAAAGATCATGGTGTCTGCCGGGCTTCAGTTACTGGGCACTGCCCTGGCCATCTTAGGATGGATCGGTGTCATTGTGGTCTGTGCTATTCCCATGTGGAAAGTCACAGCTTTCATCGGCAGCAACATCGTCACGGCGCAGACGTCATGGGAAGGAATCTGGATGAGCTGCGTCGTGCAGAGCACCGGACAGATGCAGTGTAAAGTCTACGACTCCATGCTGGCACTCTCCTCAGACCTTCAGGCCGCCCGTGCCCTCACCATCATTTCCATCGTAATTGGGATCCTGGGCATCATGCTGGCCATGGCTGGAGGCAAATGCACCAATTGCATTGAGGACGAGAGCTCCAAATCCAAGGTCGGTATCACTGCCGGTGTGATTTTCATCATTGCTGGGGTGCTGTGTCTGATCCCGGTGTGCTGGACGGCCCACGTCATCATCCAGGACTTCTACAACCCCTTGTTGAACCAAGCACAGAAGAGAGAGCTGGGAGCAGCGCTTTACATCGGCTGGGGAGCCGCTGCGCTGTTGATCATCGGGGGAGGTTTGCTCTGCTGCAGCTGCCCACCAAAGGAGGAAACGGGAAAATACACAGCCAAATATAACGCTCCATCTCGGTCTGAAGCTTCTGCACCGTCCGGCAAGAACTTTGTGTAAATGATGAACTCTGAAATGAACTCTATATTGCCTTAATGTTTACAGTCTTGGTTTGACCAGGATGTAGCGGCTCAAAAAGAGTTTGCAACAGGTATCATGAGGACTTGAAAAGCAGTCAATGAAATGCTGACGTTACAAGTTTTCTACAGATTTTCTACATATAAGACGATGAGGAAAATGGGTAACCACGTTAAAAAAAACCTTTGCATTTAAAGGAGGCTAATTTGATGTCTTGTTTAAGTATGATCAAATTTTCCTCTCAAAGCATTTGTCATGTTCGATGTGTTTTTGTTTTTCATTTAAAATGTATTTGAATTTTTTTCAAGTATTTGAACTTTTATGATTTTGTAAATATTACTTTTGTACAGCATTTTTATCTGCTATAAACTTGTCCAAAGGGAAAATAAAAAAGATATTTGTATCGCACCTGTTTGTTGGAGTGTCTATTAACTTGCATTTGCATGGGCGTTAACACAGGTGTCATATTGCAGCCCTCCATTATGTGTCACCCACCCTGTGGCACTTAAAAGGTTTCAAAAGAGTTCCAGTGTACAAAACATTCTCAGAGGGAGTTGTCAAACAGCAAATCCAGGACAGGTGTGGTTTGTCAGGTTCTTTCTCAGAGCCTATGCACATAATAAGACAAGGCTAAACATGATCTAAGGTTTGGCTTGTGTTTACATGGAACTGTTAGTAATTAGACAAATTATGAACTTTTTTTTTTCTTCCAACAAAACAAGTTTAATTAGGAAAGTCAACAGCAACCGGGGTGGTGCACTATTCAGACTTCAAATTTGAATTGTGGTAGCAAACAGGATGCATTATTACAAGTCAAATTCAATTGTAAGGAAGTAGAATTACATTGAATTTGATATCATGAGAAAACGTTACTATTTTACGAGGTGGTGATTTGTACAGAAACGTAAAAAAGAAACGTAAACATGAAGGCCCGCCCCTAAAAATCTGGTGCAAGATCATACGAAAACGTACACATTAGATAATGGGAATTTATACGAGTTAGCCACCAATTTGCCAAAATGCAAAATAGTTACGAATTGACATGAAAGTGTGTTGCTAATTTTTAACCAGAAAAATCAATGTTTGTCAAATTTTGAATAGGCCTACTAGCTTGACTTTCTTGTTTTACAATATATCTAAGATATTTTTTAAAATACAGCTTATAGAAAATTATTTTTGATACTTACATATTCTAGGAAAATAAGTGTTTATATTTATACAAACAATTCATTTTCCAGAATGCATTTCCTGTGTTGATTTTCTTTACTTGAAATTTAGCAGTTCCTCCATTTTCAAAAAAATAACACAAATATGACTGCGAATCTATTTCACCAGTACACATATACAGTTTAGTGCTTCGATTTTTTTCTTCCTTTTTTCAAATTCATTCGTACTGCCAGAAGGAGTTTCAAGTTATCTAGCTCTTCATACACTTCAAACAATAGTCAAAGAATATCAAATGTCTGGTTTTCTTTTTGCTTCTTTTTATGCTAGAACTCCGCCCAAAGTTTGAGGGCTATAAAACCCTGGCAATTAAAACCCCTCAGATGCTTTGCGCAATCCCAAAGTGACCTGCGTCCAGCAACGATGGCATCTCAAGGCATCCAGATCCTGGGCATCATGCTTGCCATGATAGGCTGGTTTGGGACCATCATCACCTGTGGCATGCCAATGTGGAGGGTCACGGCCTTTGTTGGAGCGAACATCGTGACGGCACAAATCATCTGGGAGGGTCTGTGGATGAGTTGTGTGGTTCAGAGCACCGGACAGATGCAGTGTAAGGTCTACGACTCCATGTTGGCTCTATCGCAAGATCTGCAGGCTTCCAGAGCCATGGTTATCATCTCCATCATGGTGGGCATCTTTGGATTCCTGATGGCTGTGGTTGGAGGAAAGTGCACCAACTGCTTGGAGGACGAAGCGGCCAAAGCCAGAGCTTGCATCGTTTCAGGGGTGGTTTTAATCATCGCTGGCTTTCTCGTCCTGATACCTGTGTGCTGGTCTGCACACACTCTTATCAGGGACTTCTACAACCCTTTAGTAACAGAATCCCAGCGGCGGGAGCTGGGAGCCTGTCTTTACATTGGCTGGGGATCTGGAGGTCTCTTGTTGCTGGGTGGTGGGCTGCTTTGTTGGAACTGCCCGTCCAATGACAATAGGCCCTACGTGGCAGCCAAATACAGCCCTGCCATATCTGTGATCCCAGCAATGAATTACGTGTGAGAATAACCTTAAGATATGTGGCAAGTATACTGTGTAAAATGACTGAAATAGACTATCATACAAATTATCATGACTTTGTCATTTGTTAAATGAAGATGACTGAATGAAAGCTGATGAAAATAAGTTCACGATTGTTTGTTTACAATAAAAATGTGATCAAAATAAACCTGTATTTGTGTGTAATTGATCATAAGCATTTCCAAATACAGATGTTCTGAAAACTATTTTTTTCTTTCATGCAAACACACACACACACACACACACACACACACACACTTAACAGTGAGTGAACACACCTCTGTTGACCATTCCACAGCTGCTGTTTTGTGCCGCTGCTTTTGTACCCATGCATACAAAGGATAAGTTATTATCGTTGCCAAGGAGAAACTCTTTGCATTCCAACTACTGTGTAAAATCAAACAAGCACAAGCATTCATTACAGACCCTTGCTACATCTGTTTTAAACAGGAATGAGCATACTGTCCAGGAAAAACAAAAGAAGAAATAAATGACAAATAAGTGTTTTTATTTTATTTGTATGTCTTATTGAGAAGTGAAGATGTCTGGGGTAATAAAAAGGAGAAATATCAAAAAAAAAAAATGAAACGGTGCGTAATGGTGGTCATTTGTGTATTAATGTTGGGTGCATACATTTTTTTTTAAATGATTATTTAATGTGACTTAAAAATATTAAGTGGTGCAATTTCCTTGCACATTAAATGCATGTGAGAATTTTTTTTTTTTTTTTTTTTTTTTTACAAATATGATGAATTTGGACTTAATATAAATAAAATCAAAATGTAAGACCTAATCACGGTCGGGGGTTTCAATTTTTATTTTTATCTATTTAATTTGATAACTAACTGGCACTTGTTATGCCACATACCCTTTAACCTTTTTTTTTTTCAATTTTTAATATTGCTTTAATGTTTTATTATTATCTTTAAATAAAACATAACACCAAAATACAACAATTATTTTTACGTAAATTCAGACTTTTTAAAAATACAATCTCTGGACAATCATGTATAGTTCTGTTCCCCACCCATAAATGATCAAAATGGCAGAAACTGAAAACTTGTTAATCATCTAAGGTGGTAATACGTCATTTTTGTTTTAATAATACTGCATTTGTAATATTAATACTGCATTCCAACAGCAACATAAATTAACGTGACTTGACAATTATTGAATACAGCATTATCATTCATTATTTTTACTTTTATGAATTAGGCCTATTTTTACAACAACAACAAAAAAGGTTTAATATTAAAACTGTCTAATCATGTATTAGGTTATATTTAAACCACTGGATTAATAGTCCATACTGTCAAAAATTTGACATTTTTGTTAATTACAGAGAACTTGTCTATAATACAAATGAAAAGCAAACTTAGACAAAAGTTTGAAATGTTCTTCATACATATTCTTTTTCCGAGGCGTTTGATTTCGGTGCTGGGTATTTGGGGGCGAATGCTCGTTGGTCTTTCTGAGGGCACTGGCAGCACAGTATCGCTCCGCCGGTGAGCAGCAGCCCCGCGGCGCCCCAGCCCGTGTAGAGCGACGCCCCGAGCTCCCGTCTCTGCGCGTCCATCAAGAGCGGGTTGTAGAAGTCCCGGATGATGGTGTGCGCCGACCAGCAGACGGGTGTGAGACACAGCAGTCCACTGATGAGGAAAAACACACCTGCAGATATGACAACTCTTGCCTTGGTGGTTTTGTTCTCGATGCAGGTGGTGCACTTGCCTCCTACGACCGCCAGGAGAATGCCGAAGACAGAGAGCACGATGGAGAGGACGAGCAAAGCGCGCGCGGCTTGCAGGTCCGAGGACAGGGCGAGTAATGAATCGTACACTTTGCACTGCATGTGTCCCGTGCTCTGAACCACACAGGACATCCACAGTCCCTCCCAAATGATCTGCGCCGTCACGATGTTGTTGCCGATGAAAGCTGTAACCCTCCACATTGGAAGGACGCAGGTCATGATACACCCAAGCAACCCAACAGAGGACAGGGCAACTCCTAAAATCTGCAGCCCCAAAGATGCCATGGCTCTTCTCGTTCCGTCACCACTTTCGTTTAATTTTTTTTACTGACTGAGGGAGTTTATATAGCCTAGACCCCCAAACGCTCGGGGTGGGATTTGGGGATTTGAACAAACGAACTGGACTTGAGAAGCAAAAAAGGGATGTGGTCTTCTTGGACGTGGTTCAGCTGCCTGGCTTAACTTTTTTTTAAAGTATCATTTAAGTAAAAAAAAAAAAGCTAAACTGTTTCTGTTCTGCTTTTTCATCCCCAAAAAGGGAGAAAAAAATGATGATGATGATGATAATAATACATTGTCTTTGATAATAAAATTTCATTTTAGTTATAAAGTGATCACAACTAAGAATGTGTTCAGACCACAGCCAAACTATACTGAGAACAATTTTGCAATAGAGATATGAAATTTCCTTGAACCCTTTCAGTAAATTCACTTGCACTGTAAATTATTTTGTTGTTGTTTTACAGTAATATTACAGTATTCGCAACAGTTCCTACTGTACAATCTGTGTACATGTTACTGTGAATTTTGTTGTTTTCACTTATCCTATTGTGTTCTCAGCAGTTCTGTGTACAGTATATTAATATTAGATCAGTGGTCACCAATTTTTTAAGCCCAAGATCCGTGAAGAATTGAATTGATAGAAAAAGACAACCCAGATTCACTTGCAATCTCAGATCTTTTATTTAATATTTTAATTAGTGATGCACCCATCATGATTTTTCACGGTCAATTCAGATTCCGATATTTTATTTATTTTTTATTTTTTTTACAAGCAAATTGGCTGATTCCGATACTGGTTGCTGATTTTTTTATGCAAGTTTACTTATTGTTTATTCGCTCTGTAACAAGCAAACTGGCCTTAAAAATATCTCCATTTAAAATTAGAGGCAACCACTGCAATTAAATCACGATCCAAACAAAGATGCTACACACCTGTTGCATGAGCCAGGGGCTTAGTTTCTGGGTATGCAGGTGCATATGGGCCCGGGCAGATTGGGGGCCCGCCGAGCCGAGGGGGAACTTTTAATTGAAACAAGGGAACGAATATAGAGCCCTGCACGGGCCCGGCCCTTGTCCAACAGCTTATCAGAATTCTCCGCCCGAGTCCGACCTGAGTCCGGGTGTCTTCTCTCTCTCTCTCTCTTCCCCTTTACACAGCTGCCGTTGCAGCTATAAAACTAGTCCAGTTTTGTTTTTTAATGGCAAAGTGGTTATATTTCGTTTAGTTTAATTTCTTTATTAAGTTAATTTAGAAACATGACTGGGACATTTTATGTTTCATCGCCTTGGAATTATAAGGTTCTACCAGACATTTTTGTCAAAATGGAGTTATTCACATATTCTTATTCTGTGACAACTTATTTAAATGATGTGAGGTTTCGTTTGAAAGCTGTGCACATTTTGGGCCTTTTTTTTAGAAAACAAAAAGGGTTCTATCTACAGAAGTCTATGGAACTCAAAAACCTTGAAGCTCAATATCTCAAAACAGCTCAGAATGCAGATAGAAACTTATAATTCCAAGGTGGCGGTTTGTTAAATTCAGTTTAGCCTTCTCAAATAAACACGATTTGAGACATAAAAACTTCATGCATTTCACAATATAAATTTAAATATTTAAGATAAATGTGTGATAAATATCCAATCCTTTGTGCTAAGAGTGGAAGCTGAAGCGCGCTTTGCAGGACATGGAGGCACCAGCACTTGAATTTTTTTCATAATATGAGTGGAAACTTAAAATACGCCATAATTTTTCCTCATAAAGGTAAGAGTATACATCATTCGGAACTGCAAAGTGTCTACTTTTATTTGTGTGCTCTCACAATATCAACAAAACTTTGTGCTTTTGTAAAATAAAGAAAACAATCAGGGTGGCTTTTTGCAGTCACAGTCTTGCGCAGAAACGCTTCACAAACGCTTTACTTGCCTCATTGACATGATAAATATATGTATAGAATGCTATAAATTACTACTTTAAAACTAAATAATTCAAATCAAAAATGAAAAACTCTTTCAATTATGTAATCCATAAAGATGCATTTCTCTCTAAAGGCGCATCCAACGAGGAGATGGCTAGTCAGGATTCAATAGTCAACTTCAAAATAGTCAACTTCATACTATTTTTTACTATAACTTCATTTATTTATTGATTGATTTTTTGCAGCATTTTAGTGTCACGCTGAAAAAATAACTAAATAAATAAGATTAACATGATAATATTTTAAGAATAAAGTCAAAATTATGATTTAACCAATGTCTTTGCTTCTGACCTTCGATGATCCAGTTCAACCATACTAATAAGCACAAATTACTCTAGACAAAACTTTGTGTCTTTTTTTATTGCTGAAGTGTGTTGAAATTTCATCTTCTTCATTCTACTGTACGGACTTAAATTTACTTTCCCTTCAGCCTGAGGCTTATTCATTTCACTTTTGGTGTGAAGCTTTTATATTTGCCAAAAATATAACTTTTTTATTTTAAAAACAAACAAGCAAGCCCTGTCCAGATTTTAAAAGTAACGCAAAAGTAACGTAATGCATTACTTTCCATAAAAAGTAACGAAGTAACGTAATTACTTACTTTTTTATGGAGTAACGCAATATTGTAATGCATTACTTTTAAAAGTAACTTTCCCCAACACTGCCTACGAATGACATGATTATGTCCTTAGTTTGTTAATTGAGACAGCCTTGTGTCTGAAATTAATTAAAGAGCAGGAACCCCTGGCCAGCTGCATCAAATCACATTACAAACCACACCTCTAAAAAGCCACTATAAATAACTTTATCGGTGATTTATGTGTTAGAGTCTGCTACTTTACACACTAACAAAAACATAATGGCATCTGCTGGAATTCAGATTTTGGCCACTGCCCTCGCGGTCATCGGCTGGTTGGGAGACATCATTATCTGCGCGCTCCCCATGTGGAAGGTGACGGCGTTTATTGGCACCAACATCGTGACCGCACAGATCTTCTGGGAAGGCCTCTGGATGAACTGCGTGCAGCAGAGCACGGGTCAGATGCAGTGCAAGGTCTACGACTCCATGCTGGCGCTGCCCCAAGATCTCCAGGCAGCTCGAGCGCTTGTTATCATCTCCATTCTCGTGACCTTCTTGGGAGTTCTCCTGGCCTTCGCTGGAGGCAAGTGCACCAACTGCATTGACGAACGGGACGCGAAGGCTAAAGTGGGGGTCGCGGCCGGCGTCTTCTTCCTGGTGGGTGGCGTTCTGTGCCTGATCCCGGTCTGCTGGTGTGCACACACCGTCATCCGAGACTTCTACAACCCCGTTCTCTCTGAGGCTCAGAAGCGGGAGCTGGGGGCGTCGCTATTCATCGGCTGGGGCGCGTCTGGCCTGCTGATCATCGGGGGTGCGCTTCTGTGTTGCCAGTGCCCAAAGAGCGACGGTCGTGGTTATTCCGTGAAATACTCCGCTCCGAGGTCTGCTCCAGGAGCCTATGTGTGACTGTCTGGACCGAAGTTAATTCTCCTGTTTGTGAAGGAAGAGATTTGAACCCTTTTTACTTCCTGGTCTTGCGTGACTATTTTAATTTAATAAATCATGTTTGTCTTTTTACATTTGTCTAAATTCATTTTTATATAGGCTAGCGTAACCTCCTCAAACAGTTTGGTTCTGTACTGAATTTTCTTTTAAGTTGAGTGGTTGCAAACATTTATATAAGTCAACTTAAGTTGTTCATTTAAATGTAGCTCAAATCGATTGCAGCCACTTACCTTAAACAAGCTTAGTAAATTGTGTGTGTGTGTGTGTGTGTGTGTGTGTGTGTGTGTGTGTGTGTGTGTGTGTGTGTGTGTGGATTTGAAGAAGTGTCTTTGAACTTCCGTTATTTGCGGTCTGGTTCACGGACAAACCACAAAAGCGTACGCTTTTAAAAGGTATTCAGGGGCGTACATTTCGTTTAACAGTTTGGCGGGGAGGCAATAAACAATTTCGTGAGCAATTTTTGACGGGGACACAAATAACCCAGCTAAAATGGTACTTGTAAGGAATGTATACATAGAAGAATAGTTTACTACTATTAGTGTAGCAGGGAGACCAGACCAAATTAGACAACTTAAAGCTGTTGTGGTCGCGCCGTGACAGCGGTCGTGTCCGTTGTAGAGACAACCGTCACAGTGTTGCTAAGTCCGCGGTTTTCCCGTGGAATTGAGCTACTTCATCACTGTTGCCGCGGGTTGTTTTTAAAGGGGTCATATGATGTTGCTAAAAATAACATTATTTTGTGTATTTGGTGTAATGAAATGTGTTTATGCGGTTTAAGGTTGAAAAAACACATTATTTTCCACATACTGTACATTATTGTTTCTCCTCTATAAAACATTTACAATACACAGTGGTTTTTAATCAATCATTTAATCATAATCAACCCACCCCGCCCCCCAAACACACCTGAGCAAGCTAATCAATGTCTTCAGGATCATTAGAAAATCACAGGTAGGTGAGTTTGATCAGGGTTGGAGCTAAACTCTGCAGCGCATTGGCCCTCCAGGGCAAGATTTGAGGAACAGTGCTGTAGGCCTATACGGGTGGTGGAAGGAAAAGGCAATTATTGCTCCTGTTGAGAGCAACAATAAGATCTACTGATTCTCAAATAAATTCAACCATAAGTAAACAAGGCAACGTTTTCTGAAGCCGTATAGCCAGATTTGTTACAGTACTGACAAATGCCAAAATGCAAAATTGTTGGCTTATATAGTGAAATATTTTCCTCATTTGTGAGTTGCTTTAGATAATAGCCTCATCTCAAATCCGATATGGCACTTGGTGCAGGAAGTCTTTTTTTTTTTAAAGATCCAAATTACCAATCTACCTTTTTGTAACTCACTTAAAAAAGTTATGACCAGTCTTAAAGAAAAATTACATGACTACATTTTTAAGACTAGTCAAAGCAGTTTATGCAGGCAGCCCAGAGGTTTGATATTAATAACATCAAATGTCATGATGTGAAACCTGCACCATATAGCCATAGCTGCAGGGCAAATGAAGATGATCAGTGAATAGAAGGATGATGTATTTTTGTAGGCAAAAACCAAGAAATGAGTTAGCATTTTGCACTTCCAGTTCCATTGTCCTGAAGTCAGTGGGTTTTTGGTTAAGCTTTCAGTTGTTTTTAAAACAAAGGCGGTTGCTAACAAGTGGCTAAATGAGACTACAGAGGTAGTCGGAGACATTATTCATCATCGCACTGAATAGGAAAACTGATCTACTTTCACAGCCTCATTGTAAACTATTCTAACTCAAACCTTCTGGGAAAACATTTGTGGAAGCTTGTAAAGTGGTGATGTTCAAGTAATGCAACCTTGGTGTGGTTTGTTTACAGCCTTCATTTAGGTTTTTACTTCTGGTGATTGCATTTAGGCTTCAAAAGTTAATTTGTGAAGATTATCATGATGAACAAAACATGTACGAATAATAAACTTTTGTTTGTCACCTCATTTTCTTCCATTTTTGGGGCATAGTCTCTGTTGATTTATGAAAACAATTAAATGCAAAATAAACAGCATACATGTTTGGAATTAGGGTGAGTAAATAAAAACCGAAGGTACATCCCAGTTTGTGTATTTATGCACTACTCTACATCACTTTTAGTATAAATAGTGTGTTCATACTGAAAATTCCAAAAAGAAAAGGAGCACTTTAATTGCCTGGATGATGCACTTAATTTATTGAAAAAACAAAGTGTATAATGTTGGACACTTTATGCACTCAACTGTCACAGCTTTAATTACATATTGGAGGGGGAGGTGTTACTGATGTTGGATGACAAAATAACCTTGTATAATTCATACTACACTAGACTGTTGGGTGCATAGTGTTTAGTATAATTTGGGACACAACATGAATTTTCATTTTGGATGAACCATCGCTTTAGTAAAACCATGTAAATTTCAGTATTTTCAATTTAGGCTAGCTATTGCTTAAAATAATTGAATTGTGTACTTTTTCCATGAATCCGTGGACATACTGAGTAGAAGAATCAAGTTGAACAGGAAACTCTATACGGGTCTCCTCCCCTTGCTTTGCTTTCTCTTTGTTCAAATACCAATACCTGAGGCAAAACAAGGAAGAGCATTCACTTTGTCAATAGTCATTCGCTCTTACAACTTCAACGTTTTCCTCCCTTTAATTGCAGATGAATTGCCTTTGTTGTGTAAAAGATGAGGAGACGACAAATCTTGGCTGTATGTCTGGCTGTGTTGGGCCTATGCGGTACTATCCTGGTGTGCGTATTGCCTATGTGGAAAGTGACAGCCTTCGTGGGAGCAAACATCGTGACAGCACAGGTTTTCTGGGAAGGCTTGTGGATGAACTGCATCCTGCAGAGCACCGCTCACATGCAGTGCAAAGCGTATGACTCCATCCTGGCTCTGACTCAAGATCTCCAGGCAGCACGAGCATTGATCTGTGCCTCTATCGCTGTCAGTGTGGTTGCCATTGGACTGTTCGTTGTTGGAGCCGATTGCACCAACTTTTACAGAGAAGAGCGGCTCAAAAAGACTAACACTGGAATAGCAGCTGGTGCAGTCTTTATAGTTGCAGGTGTAATGTGCCTTATTGCTGTCAGCTGGTCGGCGTATGTTATCATCGTGGACTTCTATAATCCTCAAGCAATATCGGGGAGAAAAGGAGAGCTGGGAGCCTCCATCTATGTAGGATGGGTGGCCGGTGTTCTGCTGATTGTAGGTGGTGGGCTGCTCATCAGCACATACTCCAACCGATGCTGACCAGATGTGTTGGTTAAGCCTCAAGTGACTCAAGTGATGTGCCTAGATGTAATATCATGGTCTAATCAAGGCAAAATTTGAGGACTGTTTTATGTTTTTATGAAATATATAAATTGATTGGTTATGCCAACCTCTAGCATATGGACTCTAAAAAATGTATGTATGTTGCATTATGTTCCAAAAACTGAGCTTAGAGAAGCAAGAACATCTGACTGTTTGTACAAATGCATTTATACAAATGAGCTTTTTTGATGAGTGATATAGAATATGTTAAATAATATAGGCAAGTCAAGGAAAGTTGATTGTTAGCACATTTCATACAATGGAAATTCAAAGTGCTTTAAAGAAGATTAAAACAATCTGTAATCATAAAAAGGAAAAATCATAATCATTAAAAAGAAAATAAAAATCACGATTAAAATAAATAAATTAGCTGAAATGAAAAATTATATATTAAAAGCACATAAAAGGAAGAACAGTGCAGTGCAATCAGTACAGCACACAAACAGTGTATAAAAATATTTCCTCTTTATTTTATCACAATTTTCTATTCATTTGCAGGCTCAAATGAAAAAAAAAAAAAATCCAGTATTTGTTGAACCCCGGTTTTTAAATCTGTTGTATGTTCAGTCATTTGTTCAGATGTATATAGTTATTAAGCTGTATTAAATATGTTTATAAAATTGGTTTTCTGATTATAAATATAACTTATTTTTAAGATTTCAGGTTGCCTTATTTACAAACTAGTATAGCAAACTAGCAATATTTTAAATATTTGATCTTATTTCATATAAATGTCAAATAAATACTAATAATTAATGTAATTCTTGATCTCTTTTTATGTAAATTGTTTTAATTTGTGTTTTCTTTTTTCCAATGTGGAGAACACAATGAGAATACAAATGATATTTAGCACAGGTTTAACTGAAGGATTAGTCACAAGAATATTTAAGATTATTGTGAGGAATGTTTTCAAGTGCAGAAAATGAAAAGATGACATCCCATGAAGGTGTCAGAAGCAGAAGAGCAAGAGTGTGGCTGTAATATATCAACCAATAAACATTTACACAGCCATATGGTAATCTATGCTATTAGAAATTGTATACTAATCTTTTTTAGAGGATAGAACATTTCTAAACCTTACGGAAATGTGGTGAGTGTTACTGGCATCAACATACTGAGCTGATTATATCTTTTGTGGTAAGACCACTAAAGCAAACAATGTTGCTTGCTTGCAGACAGCTGAATTTGAGTCAGCTTGAATGCAGACATGACAGACAGGTCTGGGTAACAAAACCAGCACAAAATGCTACTCATAACTATCCCAATTGCATTCTGTGGTGGTCCGGGGGTGGTTGCTTCAACCCGTGGCTCAAGCCGCAGAAAGGCGCAATTCACCCGACCCCCCTCCGGTGTGCTTTGCGGAAGAGAGTCTTCGACCTGCCCCTGGCGCTTCGGAGATTATCTCGTTCGGTGTGGCGGGGGACGACGACGATCTTGACGAGGCGATGTCCCTAACGGCGTCACTCGGGCCCTTCACTCCAGAGGAGCGCTCTGAAGTGGAGGGACATCCCGGTTCAATGGCGTGGTCATGTCGACAGTTCTGGCACACAACGAGCCGGTGCTGAGGCAAGAAATTCTCCATCTCCTCGCGAAACGCGTGATAGAAGTGGTCCCGCCGAGCGAGAGAGAGAGCGGGTTTTACAGCCAGTACTTTGTCGTTCCAAAGAAAGATGGTGATCTCCGTCCAATCTTAGACCTGAGACCCATCAACCGTGCATTATACAAACGCGCTTTCAAAATGACAACGCTAAAGCTGATACTCACCCGGAGATTGGTTTATTTCGGTGGACCTGAAGGATGCATATTTTCATATCCAGATCACCCCTCGTCACAGGTGCTTTCTGAGATTTGCGTTCGAAGGCATAGCGTATCAGTTCACGGTGATGTCGTTCGGGCTAGCGCTGGCGCCGCGTACATTTATGAAATGTGTGGATGCGGCACTTTCCCCTCTGAGAGCGAGCGGAATATGCATATTGAATTATTTGGACAATTGGCTGGTCTTGGCCCATTCGGAGGATGTGCTCAACAGCCACAAACGCGCTCTGTTACTTCACCTGGAGAGTTTAGGTCTCTGTGGGAACAAACAAAACAGCGTGTTACGCCCCAGCCAGTCAATCATGTATCTAGGGGTGCAGTTGGACTCAATGTCGATGAGAGCGTGTCTGAGTCAGGAGCGCATACGAGATTTAATGTCCGCTCTGAATGCATTCAGGCTGGGCCGTCCCGTGGCACTGAAGGAGTATCAGAAGCTCTTGGGACGGATGGCGGCGGCCGCGATGATGTGTCACCTCGGTCTACGCTATATGCGCCCCCTCCAGATATGGCTGAAAACACAAGTACCGAGAAGGGCGTGGAAAACGGGCCATGCCCACGTTGTGGTCACTCGCAGGTGCTTGAACGTGCTGAAACCATGGCGGAACCCCGACCTGTACCAACACAGCGCCCAGATGGGTCTGGTCACGCGGCGGAAAGTGGTCACGACGGACGTGTCGACGATGGGCTGGGGAGCTCATTGCGACTGCGTACTGGCCTCGGGCTACTGGACAGAGTCGGAGTTTCCTCACGCAAGTCCGGGGGCATCACGTGTTGATTCGCACGGACAACATGTCGGTGGTATCGTACATAAACCGCCAGGGCGGAGTACACTCGAGACCCCTTTACAGACAGGCAGCACGCCTTTTGCTGTGGGCCGATCACCATCTGCTCTCCATTCGAGCAGCGCATGTTCCGGGCTGCCTGAACAGCGGCGCGGATATGCTATCGAGGGACGGGATTCCTCACGGAGAATGGAGACTGAACCCCGGGACAGTGAGGCTGATCTGGGAATGGTTCGGGAAAGCGGAGGTAGACTTGTTTGCAACAGAGGAGAACACGCATTGGCCTCTGTTCTTCTCTCTGTCACGATCTCCCCTAGGCAGGGACGCACTCATGATGCCGTGGCCGAATGCCCGTCTGTATGTGTTCCCCCCGCTGAAGATTTTGTCACAAGTGCTGCACAAAATCAGAGAGGAGAAGGCGTCAGTGTTATTAGTCACTCCGTAGTGGCCAAACAGGCCTTGGTTTCCCGATCTGCTGGAAATAATAATGGCTCCCACGTGGCCGATCTCACTGAGACGGGATCTCCTGTCTCAGGCGGACGGCTCGGTATGGCACCCCAACCCCGAATGGTGGAAACCTCAGGTGTGGATGGTGTGTGGGAACCGGTAAACCCGGGCTTGTTGTCTCGCCGTGTGATGGACACGATTACGGAGGCGCGAGCCCCTTTTACGAGATGCCTGTACGCCTGTAAATGGGCAGTGTTTGAGAGATGGTGTGAATCGAATGGTCGGGACCTGGAAAACTGCCCCGTGTCTGACATTCTGAATTTTTTGCAACAACGAATGGACGGCGGCAGTATGCCCTCCACTCTCAAGGTTTATGTTGCAGCTATCTCAGCCTTTCACGCTGCTATCGACGGGCGCTCAGTGTGAAAACACGATCTAGTGATCAGATTTTTGAGAGGTGCGAGAAGACTAAGACCCTCTCGCCCTCCTACAGTGCCATCCTGGGATCTAGCTCTGGTGCTGGGGGCGCTAGCCCTCCCACCCTTCGAGCCACTTCAGACTGTCGGCTTGAGGGAGCTCTTGCTTAAAACCGCGCTGCTGCTCGCCCTTGCTTCGGTCAAGCACGTGGGGGATTTGCAAGCGCTCTCTGTGAATGCGGACTGCATGCAGTTTGGACCAGATGATTGTAACGCCACGCTCAAGCCAAGATTGGGCTACGCGCCTAAATCGCTCTCGACACCGTTCAGAGCGCAAGTGGTGGTGCTTTCTGCTTTCACTCCAGAGTCGGAGACTTCATCGGATGCCGCCCCGAATCAGGTGTTGTGTCCGGTGCGGGCTTTGCGAGTTTACATCGACCGCACAGCTCAGTTTCGGCAATCTGAGCAGCTGTTTGTATGCTTTGGAGGCAGCACCAGAGGGCAGCCTGTCTCCAAACAACGGCTATCACATTGGGTGGTCGACGCTATTGCCTTGGCATATTCTAGCCAGGAAATGGAATGTCCTATTGGTGTCAGAGCCCATTCGACGAGGGCGGTTGCCTCCTCGTGGGTGTGGACTAAGGGCATTTCTATCAAAGATATTTGTATGGTGGCTGGATGGTCTTCGCAGAATACCTTTGCCAGATTCTACAATTTGGACATGTGGTCATTAGCCTCACAGGTCCTGTCGGTGAGTACGACCCATGGTTCTACCTGCAACCACTAGCCGTTTGACTGTGCTGGTGGTTTCGACTAGGTCGTGCAGGGGGATTGGGGGCGGGGCCATCGTCATATTCAGACTGTGGCGCCCCGGAATGCGGCCGTTCTCTATGTGTGTATATTGTTGTTAGTATTGTGCCCGGCCTTGCTGCTCACATGCTTCATTGCATTGTTATATTACATACTTGTATGCATGCGTTTGATATGACTATAATGTCTTAGCCTTTGTAGGGCGACGGCGCTGCATCTCTCTCTTAATAAGAGACCTGCCATCGCACCTGGAGAGTTTAGGTCTCTGTGTGAACAAACAAAAAAGCCTGTTATGCCCCAGCCAGTCAATCATGTATCTGGGGGTGCAGTTGGACTCGATCTCGATGAGAGCGCGTCTGAGTCAGGAGCGCATACGAGATTTAATGTCTGCTCTGAATGCATTCAGGCTGTGCCGTCCCGTGGCACTGAAGGAATATCAGAGGCTCTTGGGACGGATGGCGGCGGCTGCGACGGTGTGTCACCTCGGTCTGCTCTATATGCGCCCCCTTCAGATATGGCTGAAAACACAAGTACCGAGAAGGGCTTGGAAAACGGGCCGTACCCGCGTTGTGGTCACTCACAGATGCTTGAACGCGCTGAAACCATGGCGCAACCCCGACCTGTACCAACGCGGTGCCCAGATGGGTCTGGTCACAAGGCGGCCTAC